GGTGTCCATTCCGCAGTCTTCCCCCACTCTCTTTCCCTTCCCCCACCCATCAAAGCGCTGGATTCGGAGACGTGCGTCATCGCGCCGGCTGCAGCACGGTGATGAGGCTGCTAATAAAACACAAACGTGCACGTGCCGCCCCAATCAGGTGGCCGAGATTCCATGAATGCTTCGCCGATTGATGAAGTAACGCGGCCCTCCGACCACGTGCTCGCTCGTCTCTCTTCGGTCGAGGCTCAAGGAGAAGCAAGCCACGGGGGCGCCTTCCTCGTCTTCCCCACCTAGGACCGTGACTGGGATCGAACCTAGAAGTGGGGGGGTGGGGGAGTCCTTAGGGGCGCGCCGCCAGCGTGTGAGGTATGTGAATGTGTGCGGGTGGATGTATAATAGGGCTGCTTTGGTATGCGTATGGCTGGAAGGAGTGTGTTGTGTGTGTGTATATAAGACATGGGGAGCGGTGGTGTCGTAGCTGTTAGCGCGCTGCGCTACGAACTCGGCGACCCCCAGTTTCGATTTTCGCTCGCGATCATCGGTGACGATTATCTGAACCCTGTCCTGGACCTCCCCTAAGTCGACTCGGCCTCGAATGAGTCCCTGGTGTGGTGTGTAAGCATCGCCACAGCGGAGGCAAAGGCAGACATGCCAAAAACACGTTTGGCACCATTGACCTTAACGCCCGACCTTAAACCCTCCAAACCTAGAGCCTAGCCCGACTAAACCTTCACCAAACCCGGGCTGTCCGAGACTGGGTACGAGAGGCCCTCTGATGAGCGGCGATCACGCGCGTCGCACGGATTGCTGGCCACAAACTTCGATTTGTTTTGTTCGTCCAATGTGCCGGGGCCAGATCTTTCGCTTCTCGCTACCGCCCACCTGAGGTGGCATACCTCTGCAGTGGTTCCAATGTCGTTACGTAAGCAGCAGCAACAACAACCACCACCACTACCAAACAGTAAAGCGTCGTGTAATAAACCCCCTTTTTGAAATGCGTGGGTTGTCAAACAATTATGCCGTTAGCCGTGTAAATAAACCACTTTTTTTAGTACGAGTGTATTGTTACCTTGGGTGGTTCCAAGTTCTGTGGACTATTGAGGGTACCTGCTCTGTGTGTGTGGGGGGGTAGTGGTGGGGTGGTTAGGGCGCCGCGCCACGAACCCGGCGACCCGAGTTCGATTTCGGCTCGCGGGTCAACACGAGTCCCGATTAATCTGAACCGGTCCTGGGAGTCTCCCCTCGGTCGAGTCCACCTCAAAGTGAGTTGCTGGCGCGATGCGTAAACATCGCCAGTAGGCAGACAAAGGCGGCCGGGAGTGGTTCTGGCCGTGGCCGTCATTTTTTAAGGGTTGTATACGGCTCGTAAACAGCACTTGCCCCAACAGTCATTTACGGGGCTTTACCGGGGCGGTTTTTTGTGTGATAATGTTGTGTGTTGGCTTGTTTCGTGGCCCAGACCCCTCGGGTTCGCTATCGCACGAATGCACCGCCCATCCGCCCCCCTCCACACCCGCCGGGCCCCCTCGCCATCTGAGGGCGCGGGTTATGCAATGTTCACGCCCTTTACATCCCAAGCAAAGCCGCTGGCTGCGTGCCTGCCATGAACTCCCAAAGAGCTCGCGCGCGCGCGCACACACACAAAGACAAAGACCCCCGCCGCCTCGTATAGCCTGGACAGACTGTTGGGGCAAGTGCCGTTAGCGAGCAGTCGGTACCTAATGAAGCCCGGCGTTTAAAAAAAAAAACTTTTTCAAGGAGTTGTTTTTGTCTTTGCAGTGGTGAAGTGTAAACAACCACAATCACACCAGCTACTCATTTGGGGCCGAGTGTGCTTGAGATACCATTTAACTAATTAATTAATGTGGTGAAATTATATTTAGGTTACGTCTAAAATATATATGCACGTATAAATACACACGTGCGTGTGTATGTGTGTTCAGGCGCATGCCAAGAAATCAATAGTCTGCAGCTATGATTTGAATCGGCGTCCTATTCGTCACGTGGGACGTGTCATAGGGGACGTTTCGGGCAATGGCCCTTTGTCTTCATAGCACATGATGGCATTTGACGTGTGACTGTGCATCGAGCCGTCCCTCGGGCGAATCGGGGGCGACCGCCCTGGACCCCGCGCTTTTGGGGGGCGGGGGTGGGGGGCCCGCGCTCCGACGTCACGGTGTCGGATGTAATATTTTAGTTTCAAGGTGTCGCGGGGAGTTATTTTTCCCTGCACACCCCCCCCCCCCCACCCTGGTTGTGCAACACTGCCAACGTAGCGGCGGCAACGGCAGCATCGGCAAACAATGCGTCTCTGCTTTCTATCATAACGGAGCACCACTGGAAAACCTGCGGCCCGTGGTGCGTGGCGAGGTCCCGTGGTGGGGGGGGACGGAGCTCTCTCCCGTGCCCTCGCCCATTCCGCACGGGCCGCTCTGCAATGTCACGTGGCTCCCCCACTACACCTGCGTCTCCACCTCCCCTAACCCATCTCGTTGTGTTGTCTCGCTCGCTCTCTCTCTCACTCACTCCGAGGTGAGGAGGTGGTGGCCGCGCTGCGTGTGTGTGTGTGTGACGCCTCCTCACCACCCCCGCCTCGCCCCACGCGGCTCTGTTTTCTGTTTTCTCAGAACGCGTTGCTCGGTGACGGCAGAGAGAAGAGGCGGCGGAGTCCCCGGGGTCGCGAGTCTCCTGCGTGGAGGTGAGCAGAGTGAGGCTTGTGTGAGTGTGCGTGTGAGGATTTCGCCCCTGAGCAAGTGGGTCCTGCGAGTAGTGAGATGTGGGCGTGTGTGGTCGTTGCGAGTTTGTCGGCGAGTTCCTCTGGGTGCAAAAGAGTGAGCCGTGAGTGAGTGTGTGCGGGTAGTGAGCCATGAGTGAGTTTGTGGGTAGCGAGCCATGAGTGAGTGTGCAGGTAGTGAGCCATGAGTGAGTGGGCGGGTAGTGAGCCGTGAGTGTGCGGGTAGTGAGCCGTGAGTGTACAGGTAGTGAGCCGTGCGGGTAGTGAGCCATGCATGAGCGAGTGTGCGGGTAGTGAGCCATGCATGAGCGAGTGTGCGGGTAGTGAGCCATGCATGAGCGAGTGTGCGGGTAGTGAGCCATGCGTGAGTGTGCGGGTAGTGAGCCATGCGTGAGTGTGCGGGTAGTGAGCCATGCGTGAGTGAGTGTGTGGGTAGCGAGCCATGCGTGAGTGAGTGTGTGGGTAGCGAGCCATGCGTGAGTGAGTGTGCGGGTAGCGAGCCATGCGTGAGTGAGTGTGCGGGTAGTGAGCCATGCGTGAGTGAGTGTGCGGGTAGTGAGCCATGCGTGAGTGAGTGTGCGGGTAGCGAGTCATGCGTGAGTGAGAGTGTGGGTAGCGAGCCATGCGTGAGTGAGTGTGTGGGTAGCGAGCCATGCGTGAGCGATACGTGCATCTTGTGAACGTGTCTACAACCGGTGCGAGTTTGTACGCGGGTATAAGTTTGCGCGTTTAACGCGTGCACTTGTGAAGGTGCATGTACAAGAAGAGGTGGTCGCTAACAACACTTACCCCCCCTCCTCCCCTGCAAGCCCGTAAGGCTACACGGGGGAACTTTGTTTTTGGCTGAGTGAGTGGCCAAATTATTTAGTCCCCTCCACGCATCGGTGGCTGTTATTTGACGACGCCCGGACAAATCGTTTCAAAACATTAAAAGATGGACTAAATCGTCCAAAGTCCATCAAAGTAATTCATCGCTTGTGTTTTCCTGGTTGTCGTTCGTGAGAAATGTGTGCCGAGAATGGCCTTTCACCTGTAGCAGACGAAGCCCCAGTTGCGTATCATCTTATCAGCTCGACGATGTTAGCCTGTAATTGTTTCATTTCTAAGCATTTTATAACAGGGTCTAGAACACGCTCCCGACAAATCAATTAACTTCAAATCTTCACTAAAAGCCTTCTTATTTGTCCTGGCATACGCTGGAAAAAGAGGCATTTACATTATTGTCCAACTGGCTCGTAACTTTTTGGCCACGCCACCACCCCTCCAGCGAAGGTTTTCCAAAATCTGGCGAAATCGTGGGATTGTGGTCTGGGGTATGGAGACCAAACGGATTTTTTTATTTTATTTTCTCTGCGATTATTTTTTCTCGTTATTTTTTTTGCTTGCTAAATAGTTGGGTTTTGTGTTTGTATGATCTGTGTACGGAACGGAATAATTGATGTGCAGCGCTGTGGGATGCAATTGCATGAATGACGCTCTATAAAATGTAATTATTATAACGCATAAACCATGCAATGTGGTGTATTCCCAGTGCTTGGATTCAGCCGGAATGGTCTGGAACGCTTTTTCCAGGAATTATTTTGGCACCAGCCATATCCTTCTCGCCCCATTTTAACACCGAAGGTGGTGCGTGTACGAAAAACACGTGTGTGGAAAGTGCAATGGGTGGGGGGGGGGGGGTCTGGTCTGGGGGGTAGAGGATTACCAGGTGTCCTTGCACACATTAGTACAGTACTAGGATGATGATGAATAGGCGTATCTTGTACTGGGCTGGTAGCCAGCCTAGCAGACGGCAGGGTTTTGGAAGATATCTAATGAGAAATTTGGCTCTCGCGTAATGGACTGCGCAGTGGCGTAGCGTGTGGTTAGCATTGGCCCTGTGTGAGGAGATGTTAATTGCCTCGCCTGGTATACAGGAGGTCGTGTGTTCGATCCCGACCCTCACACCTGCTCTATATTTGGAGTTTGCGTGTCTCTCTCTCTCTCATCATCATCACTGTGGCTAGGAGATGTTGACTGCCTCGCCTGGTATACAGGAGGTCGTGGGTTCGATCCCGACCCTGACACCTGCTCTATATTTGGAGTTTGCGTGTCTCTCTCCCTGTGGTCATGTGGATGTTTTCTCTGGGTCCTCTGGTTTTTCCCCTCCATATTTAGAAACGTGCGTTTACAGTATTTGGCTGCTATACATTTCCACATGATATGCCACTTTGTTGAGCTATCGTTTGTGGCCAGGTCGCTTCTGAAAGAGAGCTATACAGCGTGGTGGGCCTTGCCTGGTAAAACGCCACAAACGAGACGTGTAAAATAAAAAAAACGATACCAAACAGAACTGGTTGAAAGCGCGATTGTGCAGCGTTGTGGAATGACAATCCATTTTTTTAAAAGTTTTTAATTATTTTTGTTGACTCGCATGAGGACACTTGAAACGCCGAGGGTACAGTGGGTCGTGCATATTGGCGCACTTGAGGCGTTTAAGGCTCAATTAATATTTTGCGGGTTGTCGGTAAACTATGGCTAGGCATGTGACCTAGTACCCACAACCATAGCTATATGTATACTGGATGGTGTGTGCGGATAGTTGACCCAGACCCACTTGGCTAAAATGAATCCCTAGTTACTCCCTCGAGGGGTTGCTGCTCTGGTGCAATGTTCAGTTCGCTGGACATGAAATCCAGAGGACGCCGGTTCGGTCTCCCGGCACAACATTTTGAAACGGTGAGCAGCAGCAGCAGGTTTTGCCGTCGGGTAAAGTGAGGTTTCTGCTACTCTCCCGCCTCATTCCAAGGGATCTGGCCAACACGGAAGAGTAGGCCAAATTTCCTCCCTAAAGAGAGGGGCGCCCTGCCACCAATCAATGGTGGCGTGAGCAAGGACGTTCGGCCGGTCTGCACCTTCACACCCCGTAGGCACGTGTTGTGCAAAGGTCGCGCGTGTCTCCGCTACAAAGGTCGCTTAAATCTCAGCCACGTGGGCTGAGGTGTCCAAGCATGGGGGTGGGGGAGGGAGTTGCGGCTGAGAAGAGAGTTAGTTAAATGAGAGTTCACGGATATATTTCCCCCCCCCCCACCCCACCCACCAGGAAACCTGAAATGTAGTCATCTATAATGGCATCTGCAATAATCACGTGACAACGTGTAGACGAGTTGAAAACTATCGATGTTTCCCCACAATACGAGGAGGTGGCCGAGCGTTGTCATAGGACGATGCACTGAGCTTCGGCCACCCGTAATTTTTAAACCGGGTTCTCGAGTGTCGTGCGGTCGATGGTCTCGGCCCCTACAGCAAAGTTCGACATCCCTTAAACCTGTCTGATGGGTATGTAAGCATGCACGTGTGTGTCTACAATCGCTCTCAACCCTTTTTGACGCCAACATCAGACCACGCGGGTGTCCGAGTCCAGTTCGGAGATGGCCTTCATTTCAGCTTCCATGACCTCTCCAAATCGGTCTCTTTTCTTCAACGCCTGGTCCACAACCGTCGACGACATCACCGCCACCACGAAATCCCCCCCGGCAGAGCACGTGCACAGCCGGTGAGTGACCCCCCCCCCTCCCTCCCCACCACCCCCACCCGCACTCCCGTCACTGAGGCTGCCTGAAAATTAAAGCGGTGGTCATTTTCCAAAAATAAAACCCACTGAGAGCCACACGCAAAGTTGACCGCTATTGGCCAAAACATCCGACTTGAAAAATCACCCACAAATTACACCGTTGCCCCCCCCCCCACCCCCCCCCGACTGCAAAAACCTGGCATGACACACCTGAAGAGGAGACATGAGATTGTGTAAGGCTGTGCAGGGTCAACAAGCGTTAATAATACGTAGTAAAAATAATAATAATAATAATAAAGATTGCCTGGGAATTCTGGAGGTCTGCCGGCATTTTTGGATTGTCTTGCGTGTGACCCAAGATTTTGGACAGTAACTGTGAATGTAACCTTGAAAGAACACGTTTCCCAGCCGCTGTATGAATTGGCGTTGCGTATTTCTTTGCAGGAAGCTGCAAACAATGCGTTCGTGTAATTAATAAATAAATAAATCTCTTCCTGCAGAAAAACATTTGACCCGAACGATTCTGGTAACGCACCGGATCTGTTTGACCTCGTCTCCCGCCTCCTGGATGAAGAGGACGCATCGGAGACCGAGGAGTGAGCTGCCCTAACCGTTGCGGTGTCACCATGTGCAGTAATGTTCAGTTCAGTTCATTTATTGGGCATAGCCCTGTGAGCCATGCGGCTCTTGAATCGGGTGCAACCGCAACAAACAAAAACATGAACAAGTAGTGTACCGAGCGGTAGCACGCTGCGCTATGAACCCAGCGACCCGAGTTCGGTTCACGGCCAACATCAGTGAGGAATATCTGAACCGGTTCTGGGCCCCTCCCCCCAGGTCGACTCGTCCTCAAATGATGACGTGGTGTGGTGTGTAAACACCGCCACGAGGTAGGCGAGGGCAGCAGGACGTGGTGTTGGCCACCCACCGCTTCGTGTGCCATGCCGGCCTTCATAGGTGCTCTTGAACAGCACTTGCCCCAAAAGTCAGTTTTTTAAGGCTATATCGGGGATCTTTGCGTATTCACGTGTGCCACATGCAAGTTGGCACAGCTGAGATCCTGCGGTGAGAATCTGGGTTTTTCATCCGTCCGTAATGTAACTGGGTTCACACGTTTGTAGCGAGTAAATGTTCTCGGCCTGCTCGCCAGTGGCTCTCGCAATGGAATTTTGCTGGGGAATAAAAAGAAAAGTGTTTTGTTCAACTTGCGATGAATAACCTTTGCGAGGCATGTAAAAAGGTTTTGTGCACTTAGTGTGGACAAAGCAGTCTGTTGAAGAGACTTCAAAGGTAGTTCCGCCACGTCATCTTTCCGGACCGGGGTGGGGCACTGTGTTCTTAGAGCGTTCGGAACGGACATTTTATCATCTTGTGACACACCTCCAATGGCGCAGCTGGAATCGAATAATTCTCAGCCTTGGTGAATCCGCTGCTGTTTGAAGGCTCCCGCCCCCCCCCCCCAAACCGTGTCTGCCATGGGGGTTGTTTGACCATACTTTGCCATGCAAGGAAGCTCGGGTTGGTGAAGGGGGGGGGGGTCGGTCCAGGACCGCTTCCGATACCACTCTCCGCAAATCTTATCCATGGCCAGGAATCAAACGGGTTGTCGGTGGATTCGCAGGGCAGTGTCTGCCACTCCACCAAATTCGGAACACAGTTGGAGGAGAAACTTAAATGACTGAAGAGGGACGATATTCTTGCCTGCGAATTATATTTCCACGTGAAGAGTTTTTTTTATTATCTACAAACAACGCAATGTTACAACAGCGGCAATGATAAGCGCTCAGCACGCAAGCACAAACAAGTATTGACTTGCTGGTGAACCGGCTCCAGTATGAGCCCCTATCGTGCATCCTTGGCAGTTTTCGTAGAAATGATAAGCTGGTAACTAATTGTGCTCGGAGAATTAAAAAAATAATAATAACGACGTGTTTATCGCACGTGATGGCGATGAACACGGTTTAGCGATGATGCGTTTTTGTTTTCCATCTTGGAAGTGAGCGAGCTACTCGACCCACAATGTTACCTAGGCCGATTTCTTCTCCATTTAATTAAGAAATAGGACGACTCTAAATGTGTGCGACTCTAAATGTGTGCGTGTAAAAATAAACCAATCAGAATAATAATCAAGAAATAAGCACTAAATGAACATTCCCATTATTTTTAGGCCATCGTTTGTCCAGGACGAGCAGTGCCGAGTCTCGAGACTCCATTTCAAAAGGGCCCCTGCATTGTTGGGATGTTTTGGCCGTTTGGCCAACCGGAGAACGCTGAGAAAACGCCTCCGAATGCTCAAAGCTCTGCACAGATGTATTCAAGAATCCATCTCCTGGCCACCTCGGCACCATGTACTCCTGGGCAGTCTCCCATCCGAGTATTAACCAGGCTCAACGAACTTGGCCTGCGACATCGGAGCGTATTTGTTGACGGGATAACTTTGTAACGATGTAATCATGCGGTGGTGGTGACGGTGGTTATTGTTTGTTGTTGTTTAGAAGGGTGCTGTCTCCAGCCCCGCACAGCTTGCCCTGGCCGCTCCTAAACCACGCCGCTCCTCCACCACTCCATCTCCCGGCGCACGTGCCTTCAGCGACGTCTCCTCCACCGCCACCCTGGCTCCTCCCCGGCGGGGGTGTGATGGCAGGGCTCCGCTCGGCTGAGCAGCCGAGCGGAGCGGCGGACGCGCGGGGGACACCGGGGGCCGTGAGCATCCCGCCGGGCCGGGGGACTTCGCGCTTCCTGGGACGCACCATGGAGGGGCTGAGTCTCGATGAGCGGGCGGCAGCGGAGGAGGAGGAGGAGGAGGAGGAGGCGTGCGTGGCTCTCTCGTCGCCCCTCTTCACCTCCGCTATGCACACCTTCAGGGCCGGGCTTCCTCCGCCCGACGGCTTGATGCGGTACAACGAGAAGACGTCGGCAGAGATGACGGCGATGATGATGATGATGCAAGATGAGAGTTGTTCGCGGCCAAATTACTCGAAGGGGAATTCTAACCAGAGTACCGGCAGTGGCTTCAGGAGGCCGCTCGGCTCCCGGAACTGTGTGGCGGTCTCTCCGTTCAACCGCCAGGTTGTCGACCCAACGATGATGACGCCGAACCTGCTGGCGGATGAAGATGGGACGATAAAGACGTCAGCGGTGGCCGGGATGAGCAGGCAGAGGGAGCGACCGTGGCATCAGTGGAGCCATTACAAGTCGGGCGCTTGCAACAAAAGCGATGGCCCTTTTACCAGGCCGGCTGAGAGCGAGTGCCACTCCGCACCAGTGTTTGGCAAGTTGATGACGGCAGATGAGCACGATGATGAACTGCGAGGCTGCCGCTCGGGGGGGCTTGGGTGCGTGGCACCACCGCTGCCACCACTACCGCCACCACCGGAGGTGGCTCTACAGGCGCCACCGCCGCTGCCATTCGCGTCCATCCAGAGATTTGACGGCAACCCGAGACCGAGCCGGAGCGACTACTTCCGCGCAGAGGCATCGCCGGGCTACCCGGGCTCCCCAGGCGTTTCCTTGACGGCGCAGAGTGGCGCGTTCCCTAACCGCGGTCGCTCTGCCGGCGACTTCGCGACGGTGGAGGGCGGCACCGGACCCAGCTTCGGCGGCAACAAGTACAGCCGCCCCGCTCAACACGAGGCCACGGCACGTCAAGCAGTGACGGGGTCCCACCGTGGCGTCGACACTCAAGGAGAGCAGTGCGGTTTCCTCTCCTGTCCATTCAACTGCCGGAAGCAGCAGCAGCAGCGGCAGCCAGCGCTCTCGCCCCCTAGTTGTTTAGCTCGGGGTTACTCAAACGTGGGCCCTCGTGGCTTCTCGCTTCCGTTTGACCGACGCAATGGCAAGCGGCCGTCCGAGACGCCGACGACGCCGCCAAAGGGCGGCGTCCCTGAGGCGCAGCTGCACCCGCCATGCTGCTACCCCGGCTACACGTACAGGAGTGATGGAAGGCCGCAGCTGCCACCGCCAGGGCCGCCACCGCCAGGGCCACCACCGCCCGTCGTGCCACCCTCCAGCGACTCCCCGCCGTTTGCATTCGGCCCCCCGTTCGGCTTCCCGCCGCCGCCCCCTCCAGGCGCCGATGAGCGGCGCGTGTTCAGGCCCTGCTACCCGAGCACGGTCTTCCCGGACCTGTTCTACGGCGAGCTGGCATCGGCGCTGTACGGATTCCCGCTGCACTACGGCCTCTTGAAGCCGGCGATGAAACCACGCAGCGGCCCCGCCAACGAGCTCCACAAGCACCTGGAGGAATCGTGCGAGCAGTGGAGGGGCCTCGAGAAGCAGAGGAAGAAGGTGGGCATCCCTGCGGGCAGTGGGTGATTGTAGTGGTGGCGGTGTTGGGGAGCGGTAGTGTAGCGGTTGGCATGCTGCACTACGATCCCGGCGACCCCGGGTTCGATTCGCACTCGCGGTCAACGCCAGTGACGATTATCTGTACTGGTCCTGGGCCTCCCCTAGGTCAACTCGGCCTCAATTGAGTACTTTGTGCAATGTGTAAAAATCGCCACTAGGGAGACCAAGGCGGCCGGGCGTGGTTCTGGCCACCCACCCCCTCGTGTGCCGTGCCGGCCTTCATAGTTCCAGACTGTGTGGCTGGCACCGCTGCTGTGGTCGCGCAGCTCTTCCAGCCACGTTGCGCCGGTTTCGCGTGCCGTCCTCTCAACGGGAGTGGAACCAAGTCGGGGTGGGGGGGGGGGAGATGAGCTTCGTAATCACTCCTCGTGTATGTGCGTGCGTGGATACGCACGCCAGGCGGAGATGGAGCTGATGCGGAGCTACCCAGGGAGTCGCGTGCCGGGCCCCGTCAGCATCGCGATGCCGCGCCTGCCGCCCAATCCGTCGCGCGTCGACCGGCTCGTGGTGGACCAGCTAAGAGAGAACGCCAGGGTACGACCCGCGATGTTGCGGAGGGGAATGGGGGTTGTAGAGGAGGGTCGTCTTGCCCCTGTCTCCGGCGCTTAATTTCTCCACAAAAATAATTCTCGCTCGAAGTCGTTGGTGCACTGGAGCTGGTGGTGTGACCAGTGGCGACAGTCGTAGCTAGCAGTGTCATATATTGGATGTGGTGTGCCGGGTGTGAAAATATTTTCCACTCCTGAAATGGGGAGCCGTGTTTGTATCCGAGGAAATGCAGCCCAGAATCTGTGGGTTCGGCCTCCTGGGCTTTTTAACATCAAGTTTGCTGAGACTGGCGTCTAATTTAGTAATCACTGATTTGTCGATGTGAAATGTTCATAATGCTTGCACTCGTAGTACATGCACAAAGGTAAGCATGAATTGATGAGACGTGCGTGCTGTGAGATTGATAATCGACATTGAGACGTGCGTGCTGTGAGATTCATGATCGACATTGAGACGTGTGTGCTATGAGATTGATGATCGACATTGAGACGTGCGTGCTGTGAGATTGATAATCGACATTGAGACGTGCGTGCTGTGAGATTGATAATCGACATTGAGACGTGCGTGCTGTGAGATTGATAATCGACATTGGTCGGGCCGCGTGGCTAGATGGTCGGAGCTCTCGACTCAGCCCAATCGTCATCTGGCCTCCAGAGGTTTGTTAATTTGGTACTTGTGATAATGTAGCTTTTGTTTTGAAGACGCACCGAGCCTAGCATCTGTGAAAAGGAGACTTATAGCTTATCGGATTCCTCCAGTGAAACAGATATTCTGATTTTGATCGGTGAGGCAGTGAGAATTGCATTGCGCTGAGCTTCTTGAAAATCGGAAACCTGAGAGCAGGAACCAGACAAAACGCCAGATCGATCTCTTAACTCGCTCCCCTCGCCGTGTGCCGCCGCCGGCTATCACTCTTGCAGGTGGTGGCCGTGCTGGGCCACGTGGAGGCCCTGCTGGGGCAGTCGCTTCCTGCCAGCGTCGTGCGTGCGCTGGCGCGGCACGTGGAGGCGGTGCGCGGCGTGCAGGATGCGAGGCGCAGCGAGGTGATGAACGCCGCCCTCCGGCATAAGCAGGGAGCCCCGCGGCACCGCTGTGACAAGGGTGAGGATGACGACGGTGGCGGCGGCGGCGGAGAATCATGATACCGATGACGGGAGTGGTAGAAGTGGTGATGACGAGGAGGGGATGATGATGAAGATTGATGAGAATGAGGATCTGTCTGCGTTGCTGCTGATGATTGTTCATCTTCATTTGAATTTTCGTGACCCGAATCGTCCTCGTGACCAAACGATTTCTTATCTTCCGTTCTTTAAAAAAAATGTAATTGCGTGCCAATGATTGTGCGCGCGGGCAAACAGACGTACTGGCGCTCGCCTACTCGGTGCGGGCACTTGGTGTGGCGACGCGCCGGGCCCGCTCGGCGCTCTGGTGCGGCCTGCAGCTCGGCCTCCCCGAGTGCCTTCGCGGGGATACGGCCACGCACGCTGCCCTGCAAGAAGCCCTGCGTGACCTCGACTCGCCTCCTCCTCCTACTCCTCCACGTCCGCCTCCACCTCCGCAGCCTCCCGCTCTTTACGGTGGCGGCGGCTACGGCACAGAGGGCGCGCCTGCGGGCACCGTCTCGTCTCGCCCCCACTGCGAGCCCAAGCAGTGCGGTGGACAGGCCCCGCAAACGGCGTTCAGCATTGACGATGGCCGCAACGATGTCGATGTTGATGGTGAAGGAGGAGGTGCTTAGAAGAAGCGGCGGTGGCGGCTGCGAGTTTCTCCCGCTGCAGGGGACTCGAGACGTTCTTTCCGAGTCGCAGATTGGGGGGGTGTGGTTGGGGAGAAAATGAAATAGTTGTGTTTATTAATTTTGGGTGTAGGTTTTTTTATGTTCAGATGACTTTATTCGCGGACGGGTGGTTGTCTCCGCCGCTTCGAAAACCGGTCGGGGGTCGACTCGGCGTGTGAAGTCACTGGGGTCGATAAAATATAAACACTTTTTTGGGAAAGTCACCAGTGGTTATCGTAGAGGTAGACTGGTCCTTGTCATAGGAACGTAGAATATCCACCACTGGATAATATCTGTAAAGGGATGAACAAAAGCCCCACACTCGTTTTAGTGGGAAACCACGTTTTCTTTAACTTTCTATTGAGGTCACTTGTAGCCGCGATGTTGCGTTTATTGAAGAATCGCATGTGTGCACGTGCATCCCCGCGAGCCTGGAATGCACACCCGTGTGTTAGTCGTGGTGATTGTAAATCTAGATTATTTTAATTTGTTTTTGTAGCTTTTTTACAACCAAATCTTCCGAAATGCGCTACTTGAAGAAGCTGGGCCGGGTTGATCCTGGTTATCACTTAGATGCGTGACTGCCTGGGGAATACCAGGGCAGGCTTGGGGCTGTGTGGTGGCCATGCGATAGCAATAAAACAATGGATTCTTGAATTTATCTGTGCTGAGCTTTCAGCATTTCCGAGTACTCTATGGTTTCCTTATTCCAATGCAGGACCCTACTTCAGAAAACCTGTAGACTAAGGCTTTCCGGGGTAAATCAATGGAGTGTTATCATTGTTAACTCTGTCATGTACAAATCCAGAACCGCGTCGCCTTGAATGTTCATTTTGACTTTGGCGATTTTATATTTTGATGCGATCGACGCGAAACTTCGTACAGAAGCGGCGGCATGAATAGCGTAGGGGCATCTTCACCTAGCAGCAGACAAAGCTTGGCTGACTGATTTTATTGAAGAATCAAAACCATTGTAAACTAGACGTAGTGTGCTACTAGTTTAATCTTTCGTGGCTACCGCTTGCGTGCATACCATATTTATGTGCTTGGCGTGTGCTCCGTTGTTGACTTTGCTGGCATGTTGATTCTGACACGGGCGACATCTTATTGCGTTAGCCGCCGAATTCTCACTCCCAACGGTGGTGGACGGCGATTTATTTATTTATTTTTACAAGGAGTGGCATTTCTTGGGAAGCCTTGGGTCCCAGCGTGATCCCATCGTGGGTTCGCGTTTTTAGTTTTCACTTTTGCGTTTTAATTTCGTGGATATTTTTAGGTTTTGTCTACTCGGGTTTTTTTTATATACGATCACTTGATAACAGCGTTATGAGCGGTGCTCGTATTTATATATTTTATGAGTTGAAACGATCATGATTTGTCGTTGCGCTTTAGTAATCGTAACAATTTTTGTAGGTGCGTGGTGGTCTGGCACGCACTGGGGGGGGGGGGGGGGGGGGTTGGTTCCATGGGAACAGAGCGAGCAGTCGGCTGTTCGACATCCTTTATTTTATCAGAGAGACAGACGGGTCCGTTGAGATTCACAGGTTCATTTACGCAAGGGAACTCCCTGTAGTCTGAAGTTACTTACGGGATTTGTTCCCGAGTGGTGATGTTACAATTGTCTTAATCATTGGTGATGTTAATTTTAGTCTTTGGGCTGTGCAGTTTACAATACGTTGGTTCTCACACTTTAGCGACGTCGCAAGAAGTGTCTGAAAGTCACTTTCTAAAGTGGGTACTTTTTGTTTTCCCGATAAATGGAGTTTCAGGATGCATCTTGGATGCGTATCTGCCCGAGCACACTTTCTTTCCTCAAGTCCATGCCTTGCCACGGACTTCCGTTTGCTCTGATCCACTCGTTTCTCTCGGTGTAATTCCAAATATGTATCTTTGCAGTGCCCCTGGCATGCGCGTGCTGTGTAATCACAACCGGATTATGTTGTGTGGCGTGCGTGTTTTGAGAGTGAATCTCAGCGTTATCTCCTGGAGATAACATTCCTAATGAGCACAGTGAGCGAGTGGCTGAACCAAATCCTCGTGCACGATGTTTGCGCTTGAATGTAACGTTTGTGTAGTGCCACCAAAAACGAGATGATGATGCCGACGATGCTGATCGTCTTGGTTTGGGTGCTACCCACCTCGTTTTATGTTTTTTGGTGCGAGTTCCTTGCAGCAGGAGTTGGTGGTAATTTGGTTGCTCCGTGTGATGATTGTGGAGCAGCCGTTTGACAGCGTTAAATCAAGTGAAACTGTTGGAGTTTGACTTGATGTTATGGTACTGCATGTCCTTTTATTTAACCACTTGCAAGGTCTACAGTGTATTAATATTTGTAGAACACGTTGTTTAATATAATGGAAATTATATTATTGAGCTTTCGCGTGTGCCTTTTCTATGATGTTTATGTCAGGTTTTCTTTTCCTGCTGAGCAGTAGCTGGTCGGCGATTATCTGAACTGCTCCTGGGCCCTATATTCAACTGACCAGCGTGGTGCAGTGTGGTCAAATAATCCCCATGACCGACAATGGTGTGGGGAGAGAGGTCTTTCATCCAATCGTGGATTCTTGATCAAAGGGGCTTAAAATCATTGTGGTTATTTTATTTAACGGGGTGAGAATCCTCTGGGATTACGCCTTTTTTATACAGTGTTTGACTTAAGATTAAAAATGATTATTCACACCAAGTATTCATTAATCGGAAAGTGTTCTGTAGTGTTATTAGAGTGCGTTTCGGAAAACAGCCGTTAGTAGGGGTGTGACAATTTTCCTGCTGCCCGGGGCAAGTCGATGAAATTGCCACGAATTGGCGGAGGGGTGGGGGGGGGGTCATGATCTGATTTCGAAAATCGATTTATTTTATTTTTTTCCACTGGTGAAATTATAACATAGCATCGTCAGTTCAGACTCGCGAGTTGATTTGTTTATTTTGTTTGTTATGCTTTGCCGCTTGACCCGTAACCATGTGGTTTTTTGGAGGGAAAGTTTGCAATGTACGCCACAGCCTCCCGTCCTCCTCCTCGTCCTCCTCATGCCAGTGTTGATGACGTGCGGCGCTGCGGTGCGTGGATGGGGGGGGGCACATCGCGTCAACATCCCCCCCCCCCCCCACCGTTGCTCCTCGCCTTCGCCAAACCCGCACTTAACCCCGCGTGGTGAAGGATGATCGCGACCCCACTCGCCCACCCCGCCGCCTACCCGGGACCCACACGGCGCGCGGGTGGGGAAGGCGCTCATCCAGCAGTAGATGTCCTCGTGTGGAGAGGCACGTCTTCTCCAGTAGCCGGTGATGCAAAGTGCGTTTGTATTATTATTTTTTTTTTTGTTGAACCGTAGTGATTTGGTTGTGAGGTGTAGGTTGCTGCTCTGCTTTTGTTGTTATTATCCCAGGCATAATCGTCTGCCTGGTGGCGTTTCCTAAAAGATGACAATAAACGGAAACGAACAGCATGGGACGGGGACGCGTCTCACGATTTATTTATTCAATCGTTGCAGCACTCGAGCCAACGCCGGCATCGTGAATTAATCGATTCTCCAGCTCGTGTTTGTGCCGACGGGGTCACTACTCCCCCCCCCCAACCCCCCCCCCCCCCACCCCTGCTTGTAAGGGAAGTGCCCTCGCCAAATCACGGCCTGCTGCTAAAACCGGCGACTGTGCGTCATCATGAGTTCAGCTAAGTTTAACATGCAGAGTAGGCTTTCGCGACCAATATTATCCATAAGAGGGGTTTTTTTTGGGGGGGGGGGTGGTTAGATTGCGTAAAATCTCAAGATTGTAAATGTTGTGGTTTGGCTCTCCAACACACCGGTGTGCTGTACTAGTGACGAATTGGCCACGTTCTGTTGACGTGACAACCCTTACTAGTTGGCTGTGTCGGGTGGTGGCGGGTTTTAACGACACATTTATATATTTACGCGATCTAACAAACAAACAAAAAACCCCTATATAGTTTAGCTAAGCCTGGCTTTGCTGATGAAACCCTGAAGGGAGGAACTGCGTGAGTTTGCTTTGCTCAAATGCCGCCGGTAAATATTTCTCCTGAAGAAGATCCCAAATAGGCTGGCTAGATTTAAGAATGTACATTTTATACGGTGTAGATGCAGAAGAGGGGTTATTTTTTACGAACACCGATAGTTTATGCATCCCCTCTTTTGTAAGGTTGGGTGGGTTTATGGTGGGGTGAGGTGACATTTGCGAAAGTGCGTGTTATGTAGGCCGTCGAGGTGAGGTTTGGGGGGGGGGGGGGAGTCGACAGAAGGCGAGGGTGGTGAGTTTAGGTGAGACGAGGTGAGTGTGCGAAGGTCGTGATGTGTGCCGGCGTAGGCAATTTGAGTGAAGGTGAGGCGAGGTACGTGAATTTGCGTTAGGCGAGGTGAGCGAGTGTAAAATCCGAGGTGAGCGTGTGGCGGTGAGAGGTTATTTTTTTGTGTGTGGATGAAGTGTGCGCGTGAAGGCGAGAGGCGAGTGTGGGAAGGTGCACGTGGAGCCTATGCCGCTATACCGCATCGGCGATGGGCTGATGCGGTACGGGAGGATGTGGTGCCAAGTGGGCTTGCCGGAGACCGATACCAGCGGTGTCAAGATCGGTCTGTGTGTGGAGGAGGCTCGTGAAGAACGCTGCCACTTGACAGTAGGAGGCAGTCGCCCTCCAGCAACAACGGAGGGCGGAGAAGCGACGTTCGCAACAACGAGCGGAGCGCCGGGCAGAATAAATGCAGCAAGTTAGCACAGTAGGGGGGGCACAGTAGGGGGGGGGGGGTTACAGCTTGGTGGCGCATCTGCCGGTCATCTCAGTCGGCCAACCCATGGCACCTGCTGGGTCTATCCCGTGACCTCCTGTCAGCGGCGAGCCTTCGACACTTCACGTGGCCTCGGTGCACCTGGCCTGGCACAGGCGCCGTGGGTGACGTCGCCGTCACACGGTGGCGAACGTCGCCTGTTGGTGTTGGGTGAGCCTGTGAAGGTGACGGCTGAGCGCGCGCAGGTGAGAGCCGAGGGCGCGGGGCTCACAGGCACGCGCACGCGCGCACCACGAGCCCCCCGACACTCTCGTATCGGTAGCTGAAGCCGCCGTCGCTCGTGGTGCGCACGCGCAGCGAGCCGAGCGCGCCGGGTTCGGGCGCGCAGCACTGCCCGCGCCGCCACCGCCACCACCATACTGCTGCTGATGATGGTGGTGGTGATGGTGGTGCTGCTGGTGGGGGCTCCTCTGTGGGACACGTGCCCCGGCACCGGTAGAAGGTGAAGTTCTTGGGATACACGATCCAGTGCGCCCAGCCCAGCTCCTCGAACGAGATGAGCGTCGCCTCGCGGTGGCAGTGGGGGGTACCGCTCCCTCCCGAGGGGGGCACCTGGGGAGACGACAAGTGACGGGGGAGGCAGAACAGCCCACGAGCCGCATTCACAGTAGATGTTAAACGTTAAAGCACGTGTTTTAGACGTTGAACAGAATGAGACGCTATCTTTATTTGAAGCTTTCGTGACTGCAGTGAATCCATACTCTTTTTGGTTCTTTCGGTAAAGTCACGTAGGTAGAAAATTAATAGATCCCGACGTTTCGATCGCAACACGAGCAACCGTCATCAGGTGAAACAACGTAGGAGAATGAGACGCAATCCGCTCGTCTCTCGTGCATTCTGCTCTGGCTCTCACCCCCCCTACC